AAACTAACCAGAAAACCAACAAAAGGAGAAACAACATTACCAGTTCAGAAAGTTTCTTTGCAAAGGCCACGCAGCAAAGAAATAACCATGACGTACTCATATCAAATATTCTTTCAGGACCAAAATAATCCATAACCTAACTTGAAAGAGAAAGTGAGGAATGCTATTAAAAAGAAATTTAAAAGAGCAACCAAAAGGTTAAATGCTTGAGGCAGCATGAAGATTGTTTAAAGATGCTATATTAGAGTCTCAGAGAAAACATACCTATCAAAATAAAGATATTTTAAAACATTCAAAAAGTCACCGTAGTTAAAAGGTGCATTAAAGGAAAATACTAAAGTAAACAGGCTTCAAAAACTAGAAGTCAGCAATTTTCCAATTATTAGCCAGTGAATAACCTATCATTTAAAATTGAACATAGTAGCAGAGGACTGGAAAGTAGCAAATGTGAATCTTTTAAAGAGCTCCTGGAAAACTACAAGCCAGCCAGTCTTATTTCCATACTGAACAAACTGGTAGAAGTAAACAGGGAGTAAAATGATTAGATGCATAAATAACTATAATCATAATGCTGAAGACTCAGCGTATTTTCGTGGAAGGAAGCCATGCCTCAAAAGCCTCTTGTAGTCCTTTGAAGGAGGCAGCACACAAATGCACACGACCTACTTGATGCTGGATACTTGACTTTTCAAAGAGATTTTGACACGGTCGTTCAGCAAGGACTCTTAGAAAAATCAAGTGATCACGGAGTAGGAAGGAAGGTCTTCCCAGGGAGTAATAGTTGATTAAAGATGGGATACAACTGCTAGCAATAGTTTTAATTTACCCACTGGAATCCCACAAGTTTTGTGCTGGGATCGCTGCTGTTCAACATATTCAGAAAAGTCCTGAAAAGTGGTAGAAACGGTCCATGTCAGAGCTCATAACATAATTATCATGGGTGGTCAAAAGCAAACTGGACAATCAGAAGCTGCAAGAGGATCCTATGGGGTAAGTGACAAAATGACAGACAAAAGTCAATAAATTCAAACTGTTGCAAAAACCCTGACGGTCTCTGTATATTGATGAGTTCTCAGACATTAACGCTTCGGAAAGAGGTCAGGATTCCCGTGAACAGTTCAAAAAAATGATCACTTCAATGTTCAGCACTAGTCAAAAAGGCAAACAGCAGACTGGGAGCTGCCGGAACGGGGACGGAGTCAAAGACAGCAGTCACCATGATACTGCAGTGCCGAAGTGCAGCAGGTGGGGATATCTTGACCTCTTCATGCACTTCTGGTCAATTCATCTGACAAAAGTTAGACATTATGATTAAAGGTCTGGAAGTTCTCCTGCATGAGAAATGACTGAACAGCCAAGGATACCTCAGCTGGAGAAGAGATGATTCACATGAAGGATTGTAATGGGAGATGGACAAAATCACGGATGCAGTCAAGAAAGGAAACAGGAAACAGTGATTTACTGTGCCCACGTTATGGGAATTTGGAGGCATCAAATATAAATATCTAGCAGTAGGTCTAATGCAAATACAAAGGATCACTTCTTCACACAAAACATGAGTTAAACTGCATAACCTATTGCCAAAGGGTATCGTGGAGGCCAACCATGGTGGGAGAAAGTCTCCTATGGCAAATTGAACATAAAGCAGCACCTACAACATATAACCCTGGAGGTTCTGGAACCTCTGATCCTTGCACACAAGTCTGAACTGTAAACCCTGCCACTGGGTAAAAACACTCTTACCCTCTTTCCTGTATCATCCCAAGACACCCCTGGAGCCACCCTGGATCTTTGGCTTTCCTCAGTAACCATTCTCATGCTTTGAATCTGGCTTTCCAATCTGCAAGGAGAGTATAATCTAAATATCTACTATACCAGGTATAACACCAGGCTGCAGAATACTCCATAGCAGACCTCCTGATTTTCTCCTGTGGAAGTGCTTCTGACCACTGTTGAACAAATTCCACAAAGAGACACTGTTTCTTTTAGTCCAGAACATCATGTGCTTGTTGGGACAGCAGAGAATCAGATTTAAGGCTCTATTGGACTGAAGAATTATCTTCCAAAACTCCTGAAGTTTCACCTATACAGAGATCTATAGAAAGAGAGCACATCACAGACCCTCAGAACAGCAGAGGGAGGAACTGTCCGGGAAGGAAGATGTTCCTCCAGCTGTGGAGCTCAATCCAGTTGACACGTGCTCAGTTTTAGCCATTCAAAAATGAACAGTCTGTTATCTTATCCCCTCCCCATGCAGTCAACAGATTGACTCCACAAAACCAGTTTCAACCGGGTACTTCCATTTTTCACTGCCAGAGTTTGATAAGGTGAGATGTTCACACTCGGAGATGAAGAAGCCAGAAGCAGAGAAGAAGGTGCAGCTTGGAGCTGCTGCACCGATGAGCACACTGGTAGACTGAGGGTCCAGTGTGTACTGGCTGGGAGATGGAAAAGAGAGAGGAAGGGAGAGGGAGAGAATTGTTCAAGGAGACCTGGTGAAAGGAGAACAAAGTATTGTCAGGGCACCAAATTCACCGAAATATCAGAACAGTCTGTCCTGGGGGGTTGCACTGTTTGTGAAGGATAATACGATGCGCAACAGTGTGAAAATACTGTAGGAAAGATCTGTAAGTGGAAAACTCTGAGTCTAGCAATAGGAATACAGTACAAGAACGGTGCTCCTGACCCTCTGATCAGAACAGTGATGGTGACCCGTGTTAACCGAATTACAGAGGCTGTAAAATTAGGACAGGTAGTAATAGTGGGAGATTTCATCCACTCATATGCATACTAGGTTAATGCTTCACTGGGATGAGCTGTGGAGAAAAACTTTATGGAAGCAATAAATGATTACTTGCCAGAATTAACTAGTCTAAATTGTCTGACCCACAAGAAAAGATGCTATTCAGGATGTGGTCTGGAATGATGCATAAGACTCGGTTCCAGAGGCAGCAGTGGAAGAGCCCGTTTGTAACAATGCTCACAACACAATTTTAACTCTGTAGTGGAAGAGAGAGGTCTAAATAAATGCAGCACATGGATATTGAATTTCAAGAAAGGTAACCAACTATGTAAAATGCAGCAATTAGTCAAAAAGAGCTGAAAAGGAGCAGTCCAAAAAACCCAAGATGACTACGGCTTGTAGGTTGTTCAAAAATGCCGTACTGGCAGTGAAGAAACTGGTGGGCTCGTGTGAGACCTGTGGGTGAAAAGGGCATTCAGTGACCATAGCAGAGAACCTCAATGCGTTTTTTGCATCCATTGCTAATGCCGGTGACACCGAGACGTGTTTCCCACCTGTGTACCAGGGCCACTGCAGAGACCACTTTCCTGAGGACTGGGAGGTTTCCAATATGATCCCATCTGCAGAGTGGGCTCTGGATGTAATAGTGAGGCCCACATGCCGCTGGAGCTGACCTCCACCCTGGGACATGGCAGAGTGTGCTGTGAAGAACGAGATTCCTGATGGCATGGTGAAGCACAGCCTCTTGGAAAAAGGTCAACAGGGCTACTGTAAAGGCAAGCCCTGCCTCACAGACCTGCTGGGTTTGGTGAGGGAGCCAGCAAACACATGGGTAAAGGGACCAGCCAACTACATATTTTTGGGTTTTCAAACAGCCTTTGACAAGATTCTCCACCAAAGCCTTTTAAGAAACTAAGTTGCCATGGGTGGGGAGGGAAGGTCTTGTTATGGACCGAGAGCTGGTGAAAGCACAGGATGCAAAGGGTAGGGCTTAACGGTCATTTTCCAGCAGTGAGGCTCCAGAGACTGGTGCTGGTTTTCATCCTACAGGAAACCTCAGGCACGGAGGGGTGCAGTGAAATCCCCAGGTTTGCAGAGGATCCTCAGCCCCTTTGGGTGGTTGAATACCTCACGGAAGGTGAGGAAATCCAGATGGACCTCACAGAACCGAGCCAAGTGGACAAACCTGTGGCGGATGAACTTCAGTGTACGAAATCGTGGTGTACCCATAGGGAAAAAATGATCTGTATCAGACCTGTATGATGCTGAACCTGAAACGGCTTAGGGAGGAGCTCGCAATCATTGTCAGCAGTTCTCTGAAATCATCAGCTCAGTGTGCAACGGCAGCTACAAAATTCCATGAATGCTGGCCACTGCCAGCAAGGGGGATAACAAAGCAGAGGACATCGTTTTGACCCTCTACACCACCTTGATGCAGCCATATCTCAGGGGCTGCATGCGGTTCTGGTCTCTGCATCTCAAAAAGGACACAGCGAGGTGAGAGAGGGTGCAGAGAAGATTGTTGCAAGGACTGAGGGATGGATGCAGCAGCGGCTGTATGAGGATGGACTGGAAAGGCCAAGGTCTTTAGATAAGAGAAGGGCAGAGGCGGTGGGTAAGATGGAGGCTTGGAAACCTGTGAAAGCAATGACTTAGCTGAATGTAGGTCTGCTGCTTTACCCATCTGCAGCACTGGAACTAAGGGCACTTCCTGAAATTAGTAGGAGACTGGTTTAGAACAGACAATGAGTTCGTGCAAATTCACAGACAACAGGTACAGGACGGGTACCGAGGGGGTAAGAAGGGATGGACGCAACGATTGCGCGTGCTGCGAGAGGACAAGGGGGACGGACCACAGAGGGCAGTTTGGGCTGCTCCCCCTCAACAGCATCAGCTGGAGACAGAATGTAGGCTAGGTGGAGCACCATCTGACCTGGCAGAACATTTTTTTACATTTTTAAGAAATGAAGTGATACTCAGACAGACGTGTCGGGGAAGCATCAATGTTGGCAGACGAGCAGTTAATGCTAAATGAAAGCTAAGCAGCAACGCAAGGGCAAGAGGATAGAGTAGTAGAAGGTAAAGCACCAAGACAAAACCTGACATTTATAAGGGGAAATGAAGAGGGAAAATAGTGTATCAATATCATGGAGGGGAAAAAAAAAAAAAAAAAAGAGCTACATTATTCAGTATTTTGGTAATTAACATTTTCTCAGTGTCGCCAGTCTTTGTCACAGCAGTTGCTACTTTTTCTTACCTGTATGTACCGGCAAGAACTTGGTCACAATCAATGAGGATAAACTTCTCCAGAACCTGGCCTGCAAATTTCTTGCCCGCTTTGCTGTAGTATGTGTCTCCGCTGAGACACCTTACGCGCATGTTCTGAAAGCAAAGAGAGCAGAGCTGGTAAGGGGACATGCAGTGAACCCAACGGAAACGTTCCCTTCTGCACCACTGATGGACCCCCTCAAGCAGGAGCTCTGCTCCCGGAGGTAGAACGCAGCACGGCATTAAGTATTTCTTGGCTTCTACACACCAAATATTTTGTCACGCTCTCTGCTTCTGTAAGATAAAAACACCAGCAAATATTAACAAGTTGCACTTAGGTACAAATGCCGGTTCGGAAAAAAATCTGAGAATCCTGTGAGCCTACAGATAATTTCTGAAGTATGTAATTTCTTCCACATTATTGATAATATTCAACTAACCACAGGAGCTAATGGCTCTGCATTTAAACTAAAGTTTGACCCATAACAACGAGCCAGTTCCTAATCAATCAAATGTGCTGATTTTATACCGTGACAAAATACCGCTCAATAAAAGAGATTCAGAGAAAAGCATGTCTACATTTTAAGAATTGCCTTTTAACAGCATATTTAAAAATTATATTAAAATTTTCAGCTGCTGTACTCAAGTGAAACAGATCTGATCCTCATCTGTTTCAAAGACTGTAAAGAACTTCTCTGATCCAACTTTGGCCTGTAAAACCGACTGCCCAGCATGGAATGGGAAATAAGACTCTCGGTATCCATCAGGAGCCTTTTTCGTAACGTGAGGTTTTTGCCCACAATTTATAATAAGAAGTTATTGGCTCTGGGGTCATCTTATTGCAGCCTTCCAGTACCTAAAGGGGGCCTACAGGAAAGCTGGAGAGGGGCTTTTTACAAGGGCGTGTAGTGACAGGACACAGGGCAATGGATTTAAACTGAAAGAGGGGAGATTTCGATGGGATCCAAGGAAGAAATTCTTCCCTCTGAGGGTGGTGAGGCACTGGAACAGGTTGCCCAGAGAAGCTGTGGCTGCCCCATCCCTGGAAGTGTTCAAGGCCAGGCTGGATGGGGCTTTGGGCAACGTAGGGTAGTGGAGGGTGTCCCTGCCCATGGCAGGGGAGTTGGAACTAGATGATCTTTGAGGTCCCTTCCAACCCAAACCATTCCATGATTCTAGGATTCTATGATTTGCACCTCAGTTGAGGAAAAGGCAGAAGAGGAGAACAGTCACTGGAAACAGTTACTGGCCTGGTCTATATGACACGGTGCCAAACAAAACATCTCGTATGTAAATAAACATCCCTAAGGCTGCACCTACATCAGCTGACAGCTCGGCTCATCCCTCGTGCCCCTCCAGGCAGCTCCCCTGCCACCGCGGCGGCTTTGGCACAGCCAGCGTCGTCGCAAAGTGCCACCACCCACGTTTGGCCTGGCAGACCCCTCTGTGGGCAGCTCAGCTCATCCCTGCCCGGCCTCAGCCCCGCAAAAGACGAAGACCCGCAGCAGTGGGGCTGCACCACGCGCGCTGCCGGGGCCGTTTCTCGGCGGAGGTGGCTGCTGCCCAGGGCCGGTGGGTGCTCCCGGTGGGCATGGCGGCCTCTCCTCCGACACCCAGCGGATTTCAGTCTGGCCAGACACAGCTGTTGGAAGCAGCCAGTGCTGCAGACACAAGACAAGCCTGAATAGTTGTGATCTGCCCACAGATGTTCTCCGCAGGGTGCAGACCCATGTCCATGCCACTCCTCCAGGAGCTGCTCCCGGGCATCACTGCATCCCCGTCTCCTCCCGGGCAGGCTGAGCACGCGTGGGCTCCCCGGGCCGCCTCGACACCGCGAGGGACCAGCTCGCCCAGTCTCTGGCCTCCAGTGGGGTTCACGGCACGGAAGTTGTGCCTCGGGGGTGAGGAGCAGGAGGCAGTCACCCTGCGGCGGGTGACTCCATTCCTGAGGGCCTTCCTCTTCCGTCGGAGCCCCTGCGGGCAGGAGCTGCGCTTCCCGGAAACATCTGCCGGGGAGCTCACCGCAGAGGGTGGGAGGGAAAGGCTCAGCTCTCACGTCCCGCTGAGGAAGTCTCGTTGCCTTCAGGGCTCCACAGCAGCAGCAAATCCCGTCCGGACCAGGGCTCCGACAGTCTGTCTCTCGCAGCGGGCAATGGCAGCTGGGGAGAGCAGGAAGAAGGCAATCCCTGGTGATGCTGCTCCCTAGTATTGCTGCTGACTCTGCTTTCTGCTCAAGGGATTTCCTCAGCCTCTTGTGGTTTGTCTTAGCAGGAAAAAACCTCTTCTCCAAGTACTTGTCCAGTCTTCTCTTGAGTTCAGGGGAACTTTTAGCAGGGACAGAGCTGAAGCCCTGCAGCTCTCACGTGTTCTCTCTCTCTCTTCTTGTGTCCCAGGACATATCCTCATCTGTCACCTAAGAGAAGGGAGAAACTTTTTCCCCATAAGGACAGTTATGCATTGGAATAAGTTACCCAGAAAGGTTGTGCAGTTTCCATGCTTGGAGATTTTCAAGACTAGACCAGGTAAAGCCCCGAGCTACTATGTCTGACCTCAGGTGATGCTGCTTTGAGCAGGAGGTTGTACTTGATGACTTCCTGAGGTCCCTGCCAACTTGCATCAACCTGTGATACCCTGAAATGCCACCACAAGTTGCTGATACGGAGCAAGATATGCTGGATGCCTGGGGAGGTGTTCACCTAATCCTGTTGCAAATCAACACAGGGATTTTTTCTTCCAGTGCTGAGGTTTTAGTAATACTAGTTCTCACTGGGAGGAGCTTCCTCTCCCTCCTGCCCAGGAGCTGTTAAAACCACTTCAAGTAAGGGATATCCCATAGATTTGTCACCACAGTATTTCTTCACTCCCTCTATTCTTTCCAAGGCTGGGTGAGTTTCTGCTATCTGGCTCATTTATTCCATCCTGTTCTTCCTCTTGGCAATCCAGGCCCTGAGTTGTCCAAACAAGATGAGAATCCTTCAGCTCTGCAGGAAAGCCAGACTGCCAGGTACCACTCTCACTTGATTTAGACAGTAGTTTTAGGTTCAGCAGGAATAATCCAACAGTTAAGTCTTCTGCTGTGACCGCTGCCAATGCTCGATGCACCACTGCAGGATTTGCTGACGTTCAGCACCAGGATTTGACACCAGCGGGCTCACACAATGTTCAAAGAAGTAAGATGCTGGAGGGGCAATTGCCTCAAATTCCCCATTAAACCTCAAATTGTCACCAATTACTCCAAATGAAGACGTACCATCACATCCTGTCGCAACTCAGAGCCAGGAATAAAGACGTACACTCATTCCACTTAGAATTCCACTTAGATGTGAATATCAAGCATGTATGTTAATGTTCTGCTTGAGATGCATCAGCTTAAGAGGCACTTCGCACTGGGACCTGCCCATGAGTCACTGAACCGGGGAGGTAAGTGTTAATTAGCCATTCAAGCACAAGACATGACATCAGGTCTAACAAAGAGACGGAGACATCTCCATGGATGTAAACTCATTCTAATTTTAATTAAAAACAATGGCCAAGCTATTAGATAAGAAGCAAATAAAATAAATTTTGGCAAGATGGAATTTATCTGGATCCACCAGCTGACTTCAGTGATGCAGTTGTTTATGAAAGCAAACGTGCTCCAGCATGAAGCAGCTTTCCCTAACAGTTCCCACCTCAAGAGGCAGGATGAAACGGGTCTGGCTTGTGAGAGGCAAGAAAGGACAGCACGTCACCAGCACGGGGGAAGAAGGCAGCCTCTCTAAATTAATCTTTGCATAGGCAGGTTAAAAACGAGGGGGAATTAAGACATTTGTACCTGCATCTATTTTGAATGCTGTAAAACATTATTTTTGCATTTTCCCTAGCCTGTTTTTTAGTTAAGAATGGTTCTGAGGTAACCAGATAACTTGCAAGCATTCCTCACCAAGACAAAAGGAAAACCTAGGAAACTGGTGGCTGGAAGAGAGTCAGTCCTCCAGGGAATCCTATGCACCCAGGGAAGCAGCACAGCCAGGACTGCTGGCCTTGCAGGACTAACAAATGCCAACAAAAAGCCAACTTTCATTGACAGGTGGTAGCCAGAAAGGCTATATGGGGAGCAGCAAGATCCTGGGGTGCGTTTCTGAGTCTGCAAGTTCTCAAGAGAGCTCGTTGCACTCATACATCAATTTTTACTGTTTGCCTGCTCTGGGCACCACACGTCATTGCTGATGGGCACCTCGCTGGGTGGGGAATCAGGCTCTTCGCAAATCCCTCATGAACCCACAACTGAATTGCAAAGCAGAAAAGCAGATCTTAACACGAGAGTTTTAACGTGTGGTTTTACATGGACGCAGTGCAGCAGGGCCAGGAGAAAACAGTGGGGTTTGAGTCAGGACATCCGAAGGAGCTCGTTGCTTCCCTTCCCCACCCAGTGACTGCAGCTCTGGCCAGAATCTAAACTGAGCTCAGGGATCTGAACTATGAGCAATTTCAGCCTTGCAATTCTATGTCCTAGAGCAGGGGCTGAGAGAGGACAAGGAGAGGAGATGATACAGGTCCACATGAACCTAAGTTTTCTGCTCTACCTGTCTGCTGATCTGCGCCAGCCCAGCAAAGCCCACTGCATCTTACTGGACTTGACTTCACACTTCTTGGGTGTAAAACTGAAACGAGGAACACAAAATATCAAGATATGGGACTAGGAGGCTCCTCCACTCCCTTCCCCTGTGCTTCCAGACAGACCTCAATTTCCTAGACCTAACAGCCATGGCCTCTTAGCCTGAGACAGTGGGAGAAGGGATAGGTCCTAGGGACCAGGCAGAGGGAACAGAACAAAGGGTACATGGTTTTCTTCAGTTCCAGGACCTATTTATCATATTCAGCGTGTGACTTACTGGGAAGTTGTCCTGAGTAAGGGCCATTTTATTGCACATTTCCACAAAATGCTTCAAGTATTCTTCATCCAGGATCAGGTAAACAGGGACGTGCCGTCTGCTTGAGGCCTCCAGCAGGTCACACAGTATTTCCATGTCTGTAAACAGATCCATCACAATTGCTATCACCTAGCCAGGAGAAAAGAGGTAGGGGGGGGAAAAAAACAAGAGACCGTTGAAATTTCACGCCCAAGTCAATTGTGCTTTAAACTATGAATTAAGTATTCAAACTTAGAATCATAGAATGGTTAGGGTTGGAAGGGACCTCAAAGATCATCTAGTTCCACCCCCCCTGCCATGGGCAGGGACACCCTCCACTACACCAGGTTGCCCAAAGCCCCATCCAACCTGGCCTTGAACACTTCCAGGGATGGGGCAGCCACAGCTTCTCTGGGCAGCCTGTTCCAGTACCTCACCACCCTCAATGTAAAGAATTTCTTTCTTATATCTAACCTAAATCTCCCCTCTTTCAGTTTAAATCCGTTGCCCCTTGTCCTGTCACTACACACCCTTGTAAAAAGTCCCTCTCCAGCTTTCCTGTAGGCCCCTTTAGGTACTGGAAGGTGCTGGAAGGTCTCCCCGGAGCCTTCTCTTCTCCAGGCTGAACAGCCCCAACTCTCTCAGCCTGTCTTCATAGGAGAGGTGAGATTCTGAGCGTCTGTGGCCACAGGAGCGGAGATTGCTTCTGGACCTTTGTGTTTAACAGCCCTTCCCTCACCATGGCAGATAAAATCCCGGAGACGTTCCCCACCCAGCTCCCTCCTGTCTCATCTGTCACTCGCAGAAAGAGGCAGCTGAGAGGGTAACGTGCGTGTGCACAAACTCGGAATGTCACTGATGCAACGAGTGTGCGTCGCCTTCGCAAATACGCCAGAAATACAACGTGCACACGGAAGAGCTCAGACCGACCAAAATCATTATTCCATTGGTACGAGTGACGCCACAGATGACTGGCATATTAACAGAAAGAAGTCTCTCTTTTTTTTTTTTTCCTCCAGGAAGGACACACCGGCAGGTAAGGGAGAAGGTGTCTTGATCAAGTATATACACATCCTTGTTCCAAGATCACATCCTAGGGACAACGAGACAAAATGGTAGAATAACGCGTGTGGGAAGGATCCCTTCCCTTTCCCTGCTGGCAGCACTCCTGCTAACGCGGCCCAGGACACAAGTGATAGTTATGAAACCTAACAGCAGGAGAAACAAATAACACTGATATTATTAAAAATAATTAAAAAAAAGGAATTCAAGAAAATCTGTCTCAATAAACTGAGGACTTGCAAGATAAAGTCTCCAAGGGAGGGATTTTAGAAAGAAAAAGAATTTTAAAGAGAACTGCCAGTTCTTTCAAGAATGAGACTGAAGAAAGCCATGACAACCCATCCCACTGTGGAGACGGGAAGGAAGGCAGAAGACCATCTTGGCTAATTAAATTCTCCAAAATCTGGAAGGAAAATACAGAAAACGGAAGGTAGGTCACAACAAGTACCTACTACAAGTGAGTTGACCCAGAACTAGAAAACTCAGCATACAGTATGAGCTGCAACCATCACAACAGATCAAGGAAAATCAACCATAGATACATTGACTGGAGAAGCTGTTCCACTGTTCCTCCCAGAGTGAGGCTGCCAGCAGACAACATCAAGATGGCCATTATTTGGATCAGGAAGCGACTGCTGGGATCCATCTGTTGGCCATCACCACCAACGACGGGAATCGGGACATGTTGGAGAAGGAAGGAACAGGCAGGAGAGCTGGATGATCTGTCAGGCCTGATGCACTTCCCCTGAGGGTGTTTGCAGAGCAATCCGGTGACTTAGACCTTGAACTATTAACAGTTAACACTGAGAACTCATGGAAGATGGCAACACACTGGAAGACTGAAAAAGGCAAAGCAGTGAAGGATTTACCAACAGGCCAACTTCATTTCAAAAGCTGAAAAAATAACAGAACTACTGACCAAGTACTTTAGTCCCAGTCTGTACCATATCTTAGCAGTAAACAAGGTAACCATTTGGTACTTGTAAGTTGTGTGCCTAACTCTGGTTTTGAGTTCCTGCACCTTGTAGAGGATGCCCAAATAAAGATGGCCCCAAAAGCACTGAGTTTTGGAGTGGAGCTCCAATGGGCTACTTTACCCTGCTGCTCAGTGTTCATGCCCTGCACTACACCTCGCACCCAAAATGTTTGTTCTGCTGCTCATCGTGCAGGTCGTGAGGAGGC